CGGACCATCGAGATTGAGACAGTCTCGACTAATTCAAAAGAATCAGTAGACAAAGACAAAAGATACATTGTATTATAGATTAATAGAGAGGAAAAAAAATTAATATATGCAAATATGTCTACATATTCCGAGACAAAATAATATTCACACATTCAACTGTATATTGTGCAGTCATGTCTAATTATAATGACGTAGAAAAAAAAACTATTGCAATTTGTTTCCAATTAGATTAAAATTCTCGAAATAATTGTTTTTTTATTCTGTCTATCAACAATATTCTTTTGTCCAGGGGCTACGATTTTTTTTTTAGTAGGCAAAAAAAAATGAGACAGCGATCAGATTACGTAGATACTGTTCATCATTGGTTAGGTTTAAATGATGACAAGTGTAACCGGAAAAAGAAGAAGATTGGATTATTTCTTTCATTCTGTTTCTTCTCAGTTAGATTGTATTTCGCTTATGTGTTTTGGGAGAAGATGATGATGAAGAAGAGACCGAAGGACTCTCTTATTTATTTGAAATCGAGGGAGTTAGATTGCATCATACTTAGCTTTTATGTATTACTATCTCATCAATCTCGATGTAATAAAACTATCATTTCAGCAATGCCAATTTACATAGAATTTTACGGAACGTGCTAAAAGACGAATCTAAAAATACAATACATCTATTCTCCATCAATCTTTGTCCGTAGTAAATAAGAAAGAAAAGAAGAAAAAAAAGTATTCAAATATTCAAGATCAATGAAATAACTTTATTTTACCCTCGATTGCTTTTATATTTGCTAGCGTAACTGGTAACGGTGTAAAACTTGAATAAAATCGTGCATGGCTAATTCGAACACTAAATATTTTCACATCGTAATATTTTAATGGTGAATTTTCTTCACATATTACTAAATTATCAACAATGACATAGAGTGGTTGTTGTAATTTTGTCAATTGATAATGTTTATGTAAATGAGATTCTCCATGAAATATTCGAAAAACCCAAACAAATGCTGAATATGGATGATTATTCGACCATTGATGAATTGCAAGAACTCGACCAGTAAAAATAATATCAGTTGAATTTTTAATTTGTAAAATATCAATAATCATACACGATTGAATAGATATAATTAACATCAATAGGAAAAAGAAGCAATTGGTTTGAATCATTTTTTAATCTTTATAAATGAACTCGCTCTTGGACTTGGAATATATAAATAGACAAGAATAATTGAAGAATAACACAATAAATCTCTGTCTCTATTCCAAGACAGTCAATCCGATCGAGATGCTATTTTTTTTTTGCTTGCAGTCGTTGCTTACTAGCCGAGAAAAAAAAGCAAAGCACAAATGGAAATGGTCAAAACTCATTGAGCATCTCTCCTTTTTTTTTTTCGGTTTTCCCGCCTTCTTGTTCTATATAGTGTGCCGACGATCATTATGTATTTATGTCATACAAAGACATATATTGAACATTTTCTTAGACATGTGAATACTTAGGTATGAATAAGATAACATTAACAAGAACCTATTAAATTGATTAACCGATGAAACAAAAACAAAGATCGTCTTACAAATGATACTTTGAGATATAAAAGTCTTATTTTCTTTTCATAAAAGTAATTAAATATTCCTATCAGATAGACTATACATTAAGACATGTATTAGTTTTTTTTTCTTATTCATTCGAAGTTTGTGGTAATAAAAACAAAAAGAAAAGAAAAGGAAACCATTGTCATTTATCATATTTTCAGGTAAAACTTACCAATTAAGCCTTCCTTTTTTTTTTTGAAAAAGTTTTGATAATAAAATATTTTTTGATGAAACAAAAGATAAGATCAATTGTATGTAAGTAAGAAGAAAGATTTCTTTTTCTAAAATGTCATATAACACAAGAAAATTTTAAAAAAATGCTTTTTGTATGTAATCAAACATTTGTTTTTCTATCGTTTTCGATTGATGTAAGCAAACATTTATCGTTGACAATAGTTTGATTTACCTTGAATTTATTATTTAAAAAGAGTATTGAAGTAGTTACATACTTATTTGATGTTAACAACTAATTTTACGTATTATTTTTTTTTCTCTTTCATTGGAATTTAAGAAAATGATAGAATTAAGAAATAATGTAGTACTATAGGAATTAAGTCCGTTAGAAGACATAGATTTGTTTTCGAAGATTGTCTATGTAAGAATGTTTTCAATAAATTTTGATTTTATTCATATCGCTATCAAGAGAGTTTATGACAAATATTGAAATATTTTGTTGAACAACAAGAATCACGCATATCGATATTTTTATTATAGAGTTTATTGTAATGCCATTTATTTTCTTATAGTTTTCAGAATAAAAACAAGAAATACCATGAATATACAATTCGGATTATTCCTGTCGTTTGAATTTCTTTTTTTTTGTTCATTTGTAAAATTTTAAATAAACTATAGTTGAAATATTATTCAGATATTCTTTTATCTCTCGTTCATGAAAAGTCTTGAATATAATATAAATTAATCAAATATGACTATGTCAAAAATAACAAACTATTAATGTCATAATAATGTACTTCATCAGATTGATTGAGACAATCTTGTATTACTGTCAAACATGTAACAAAAATTAATATTGAAATCATTTGAATTTGTCATGAGAATTCTAAGAAGAAAAATAAGAGAACTTTATTTTTGTCAGTTTTATAGATATATGAATCTATATTTTGAGATGAAATATAAAATAAAATATATTCATTGAATGTTAGTGCTTTACGAGAAAAAACAAATATTGTTTTTTGTTCTATTTTGATTAAATTTTCTATGGCCTTGACTAACGATAGATGACATTTCATATTTATAAGATTAAGTACAAGATTTCGATCCTGGATATTGAATATACGATAAGAATAGTTCAGCTCTCAGTTACATTGATTAATGGAAATTTAAATCAATTTACTAAGATCTAATAAAAGCAAAAGATTCTCAAAACAAAAAAAAAGATTTATTAGCCAATCAAAAGTTCTCTTTTGACTGTCAATAGTAATTTAAACATGTATAAAATAATTATTTTTGCTAGATAACCATAATCTTTATAATTTGATTTGCATTGATTTTGAAACCATTGTCAAATTAATATTCAATGGCCAGGGAAAATCTTCGAACGAGATAGATTATTGTACTCGGCATTCTATTCCAATTTTACTTGAATAAATCAAAAGCATCAGTAAAATAATTCATTAAATTTGATTACAGTTGAAGAATAGAAAACGATTTTCGAACAAATGTCTACAAGAAAAGAAAGTTAATGTAAATCAAAAACTTAAGATTCAAGAGATAAATCGTTTTAGATTTCCATTATCAGAACAAGTAACTCATAGTCTTTTTCATCTTGATTTTCTTATGCTTTGCAATTATTTTGGTCAATGTCTTGAGTTAAAATTCTTTTTTTAATTTATAATTAATCTAGATGTAGTGGCGGATTCAGGAGGAGGTGATAGGTGGCGGTCCGTGTCCCCTCCACAGTGGGCAGTTTCTATAGAACATGTGAACGTGACTTATTTTCTGTCAAAAACGCGTTTTTTCCATAGAAACATTAGTTTCTGGTACTCAACAAAAGATTGATGAAAAAAAAGAACACTTTGGGGTGGAAAATGCGTCACATGAGACCTTTATCCGAATCTTTTATCGGAAAAATTTTTATTTTACAAAAATAACAAATGACACACCATTTGATGTAGTTTTTCGTGCTAATTCCAAATATATCTTTATTTTTTTCTCTTAAAGTATTTTTGAGACAAAAGAATGTGAAAAACCTTTAAAAACTAAGGTTTTTAAGACAATCTATATCTCAATTCAGTTGATGTTGATGATTAATAAGTATGAAATTCAGTGAAAAGATCTACATAATTCATGTTCGATGCAGCGGTATCTTCTTTCCGAATATACAAATTCTTTTTCAAATTTATGCAACGTTACTAGTGACAATAGTCACAGATGAGCAAAGGTCTTTCGATTGATAAATGATATCGAACAAGTCATGGACGACTTCTCAAAAATGAACAAAATAGAAAACTAGAATTTCTTGTATGGTTTGTTTTTTTTTTAGTTGTTTTTGTTTCCATAGATTGCAGCATATATTTCAACAGTTGATAATAGAAAATGGTAGAAAAATCATCACGAAAATCGTCATATTCTACATTTTACTCCCAATTTTTCGTTATATATAAGAAGACAAGGAAAGATTTTGATTAATTATGGCACTAGTTCAATGAAGATCATTAAAT